GCAGCCACACACACACACACACACACACACACACACACCCCAAGAGAGCTGGGAGGCGTAGATCTGCACACACACACACACACAAACACACACACACACAGCAGAGGCCCAACAAGAGAAATCTCGGCACACACACACACACACACACACACACACACACAGAGTCAGGGCCCAAGAGAAATCTATCTCACACACACACACACACAAACACACACACACACCACTGGGGGCAGAGTCCTAATCCAGGAACACACACACACACACACAGACACACACACACACGGGCCATGACCAGAACCCTGGAAAAGCTCACACACACACACACACAAACACACACACACACAAGGTGGATCAAAGCCAGCTGGTAGGTGAGGAGCCCGTGTACTGGGGGATGAGAAGGACAGACGCCCAGTGGTGTTCGCCCAGGCAGGCCACACACACACACACACACACACACACACACACGGTGGGAGCACAGGCTGGAGTGGGCGCGCACACACACACACACACAGACACACACACACACGGCCCCACTGAGGATCACAGAGGCCACACACACACACACACACACATACACACACACACACGCTCCTGATCAAGAACTCTCCCAGGATCCAAAGGGCTGCCTGGGTTTTTCTATGGCCACACCTGGCTGCTCCCTGCAGGCAGCTCCCTTCACACACACACACACACAGACACACACACACACCGGAGGGCCATGCATCTGATGCCATCCACACACACACACACACACAAACACACACACACACCACTCTGGATGGGCCCAGGGTGGAGAGTCACACACACACACACACAGACACACACACACACTGGGAGAAGGCTAGAGGACTGTGCGGCCCACACACACACACACACAAACACACACACACACTCTCATCTATTGGGTGCTCATCCTTGTTCACACACACACACACACACACACACACACACACCCCCACTTGCTGGGGAAGTCGCTGCAGCCACACACACACACACACAAACACACACACACACCTCTAGCCAGAACTGAGAAAGGAGGATCCACACACACACACACACAGACACACACACACACCCAAGGGGCTGAGACGTAGGCAGTGTTGCACACACACACACACACACACACACACACACACGAAGGCTGGGTGGATGGTGTTTTGCCCAGAAGCATCTAACCAACTGGTTGTCCCGCAGAAGACAGGGCTTCCTCTCTGCTCTTTCCTGCCACACACACACACACACATACACACACACACACTCTCTGGACCTGGTGTGGTGGCTCTTGCCACACACACACACACACAGACACACACACACACAGGATCACTTGAGACCAGAAGTTTGAGGCACACACACACACACACATACACACACACACACAAAAAAAATAAAAAATAAAAATTAGCCACACACACACACACACACATACACACACACACACCTGAGAGGCTGAGATGGGAGGATCACTCCACACACACACACACACACACACACACACACACTTCATGCCACTGTACTCCCGCCTGGGTGCACACACACACACACACATACACACACACACACAAGTGATCCCTTACCTCTTGTCTGGGCACACACACACACACACACAAACACACACACACACACATGGTGATGAGACGTGGACTTGGAGACACACACACACACACACATACACACACACACACTATGACCAGGGCAACCTAGGGCAATTTCCACACACACACACACACAAACACACACACACACAAAATGGGGACATTATTGGTAGGAGGATCACACACACACACACACATACACACACACACACGTGATATGAGCTTCCACTCGCCTGTCCTCACACACACACACACACAAACACACACACACACCTGAGGACCCTGTGGGAGACGCAGAGTTCACACACACACACACACATACACACACACACACCATGCATGGGGGACAGTCCCAGCACCGTCACACACACACACACACAGACACACACACACACATCCCAGGCCCTCAGAGAGCTGTGAGCTCACACACACACACACACAGACACACACACACACGCCAAGGAGCAGCAGGGAAGCTGGAGGGCACACACACACACACACAGACACACACACACACATTCCAGGACACATGGGAAGGTCAAAGTCACACACACACACACACAGACACACACACACACAGTGGATCCCAGCCTGGGCGGGCAGAGGCACACACACACACACACATACACACACACACACTGGATAGGAGAACGAGGCCCCAGCTCCCCACACACACACACACACAGACACACACACACACCCCAGGTAAGGCAGCATTGCCGGCCAGGCGAGGGCGCACAGGGTCCCGACGGCAGCACCCCCTTGCCTTCCCAGTGCCCCCTCTGATCCAGCCCTTCGAGTTCCCACCCGCTTCCATCGGCCAGCTGCTCTACATTCCCTGTGTGGTGTCCACACACACACACACACACACACACACACACACGAAGGACGGCCAGGTGATCATC